GCATCAAGTCCCCCATTAAACTGGAGTTTGAGAAGCACCAACAGGTACACACACACACACACACACACACACACGCACAAAGAAAGAGAGATGGAAATGCTTGAAGTGTACTTGTGGTTAAACTCTGGTTTCTGAGGATGCATGTGTCACGTTGAAGGACTCTGCTTTAATACGGTTTACATCTGAGTACAGTTTTTTAATTGAAAGGCTGCAAAATGTAACAAATTGCAACTTATCCAATAGCTAATCTACCACAAGGGCTGGGCAATATAGATTGTATATCAATATAGTAATGACATTAGTTATGGATTTAGATTTAGGATATTTATATGGCATGCGTGTTGTCTTTTGGTAGTTTCAAAGCCTCTTTTACAGTAAAATAATGTCATTTAAACAATTTTCATGATTGGATCTCTACCTATTAAGTCCACATAACATAACATCTCATATTGTCAATATTTTTACTCTGTCGTCGTAATTGCGATATTGTGGTATTGAGTAAAAAAATTAAGTGATTTGGGGATTTCTCTGTATCTAAACAATTCACCTCTTGTTTCTGTATAATCATATAGAATTAAAGGCGCCTTCAGCAAGTCACAATGGATTTTATTTCCAAAACGAACCTGCAAAAATAATTACATTTCCATACAACTCGGCTTTGTGTTCAGTGCTAGTAAATGCAAGCATGCTAACAAACTAAGATAATATGGTGAACATGCAAACATTTCCTGCTACATGTATTAGCATTGTTATTTTGAATATTTTAACATGCTTAACAACTAAACAAATATGATGCTTAGCAATTTTCCGGCTTAATGTATCTGCATTCTCAATGTGAGAATGTGTGCATGCTGACTTTAGCACAGTTCTATAGCCTCATCGAGCTGCTAGCTTAGCTTTAGCATTTCCTTGTTTTTCCTATGTTTCTTATTCAGAGCAGTACAGTATACAAATTAATTTTAAAAGTTTCTGGTTTTATTACCCAAATATTTCTCTCCTGAGTTTGTCAGGATGAGGAGTTGTCGGTGATGTCTAAAGAGGCATTATCTTGTGACATTTGCTTGACATTAGCCATTCCTTGCCACCAGGGAAATGACACAGAAAATGGATCATTAATAAGCGGTGGTCCACTCAGTCGGGACTAACCAGGATTACTCTTTTTTGGAAATATAAAATGTGTAGTTTGTCCTTGCTTGTTGTAAAATATAGTTTTAACATTAATGTTTCCTATTTAAATGTATTTGTTTAATATGATAGTGTTAATGTCATTGCAAATTCCCCATTATGTGTAAATATATTTACAATTTATTATCGTTTATGTCCTATGTTAAACATAGCATTTATTTTACAGGTGTGCAGAACAAACTCATGTGAAAAAACAAAATGTTATTTCTATATTTTTCATTTTTTAAAGATGAATATAGTCACACACTTATGTGAATATTTGAGTTTGCTTGCAGAATAACAAAACATATTTTCTCTTAGCAATGACCTTCAGGTTAAATATGTTTGCTGGCTTGTATCTGTGGGCTTGCGTGTGTGTGTGTGTGTGTGTGTGTGTGTGTGTGTGTGTGTGTGTGTGTGTGTGTGTGTGTGTGTGTGTGTGTGTGTGTGTGTGTGTGGGTGTGGGTGTGTGGGTGTGGGTGTGTGGGTGCACGTAAAGGCCAGTGCAAAACGAAATGCCAAATCTCATTCAACAGCTGAATGCAGATACTTAAGTCCATTAATCAAACACATGATTAATAAAGCCACATCTCTTCAGGCTGTTATTCCCCCTCTGCGCTCTCACAGCAGAGAGTTCCTACTGCTCCAGTGCTGAATAAGTAAATACGTGCGGGTGGTGTGGGTTTCTATTTTTAGAGCACCCCTCTCTCTACTTAATTTGCTGCTGTGTTTTAGGAAATGAGCCTGTGGTGTGTGAACAATGTAATGACCCTCTCTGCTGCGATCCGCAATATGAGTCACACCCCCTCAGGCAGCTCTCTCTAAAATACCCACAAACACACACACACACCCACACACATGCCCAAACATTCATGCACGCTCAACATTGCCCTCCATCCAATATGGATGGTGCTAAATTAAAGCCAAAACCCACAACTTACACAACAGCTATGAGTGATGGATGTTGATTCTCTGGCTCTCCATTCCCTCAGAGAAATGACCGTATTATACAATGAAATATTGTTGTAAACATTTCCAAAGTTCCTATAAGAAAAGTTTACAATGAGATAAAAAAATATATTTATAAAACGGACAAGTCAAATCAAGCAATCTGATTGGTTCTTAGCCGTGATATACTGAGCGTATACCACGGGTAGAATTGTAAGTTACTTTTCACAACAAGTCAGTATCCCTCCGCGCCTGAGAAACACAGTATACAGTTGGGCT